GTTAGACCGTAGTCCGAACGCCGCGCGCAGCTCGCCATGACGTGCCGTTTAAACAAAATTACTGTTTTAAGATTTTTAATACTTAAAAAACTAAACGTCATATTGAAATTCTGATTCTTGCATCGTCTTAAACACATAAAACCACACATTTATACGTCAATTAAATTTTAAAAAGAAAATTTTTAGGTTGATAAATCGTTGTGTGAAGCGAGGAACTTTTACACGTATAAGATAGGCGATTACGATGACTGAGGCCCAGTGACGTCACACGTCTTTTTTCAATTGCTCATAATGAATAATGTGAATAGAAACGTAAAACCTATACCATTATCATTAGAATTGAACATTCTTTCATATAAAAAATACTTATTTTTTGTGTTGTGTGCTCCTTTAATGCTTTGTCTGTAATCTCTTTGCGTGCTTTCTCCGTTTCTCTGATAATTACTAAACAATTATTGTAGTTAGTATATTAATAATGAAAAACTGTAAATATTTGTAACAATAATATATATTGTTAATAGAAAATTAAGTAGGTACCATTTGAATTTTTAGCATCTTGGATTTTTGAGTCATTAGGTTATTATCGAACTTTGTTTAGTTTCTGTTGTAATTTATTCACTTTTTGCTGTTACATCAGTATTATTTATGCACATCCTCTAAAATTTGAAGAAGCCTTGCCAGATAAAACTGCCTGCATAATAGTGGAGTCTCCGATTTCTTTAGACAATGCCTGTGGTTTATAAAAATAAATAAAATAAATGTATATAACTAACCTAAGTAAATATCCTAACATTATGTGTCATTTGTAAATCATTTTTTAATTGCATTATCTGGTTACAATAATGACAAATCTTTTTATTCGACTGGCACAATTTATCAGTCAACTCTTTTACTTTTATTGTAAAATCTTAATTTTCTTAATTAAAAATTAAAGTTTATTTAATATTTAAAATATATTTATTTTTACTAAAGAACATGATACCACACATTACATGAATAATATTAATTAATGTAATAAATCTATAATATATATATAATTATGTTATTAATTATAATCTGTGATGATACTTTTATCTTCACCACATATGGTAAACGGAAAAAAGTTTCTGAAAAAAAGTCCCTCGTTACAGTATAAATAAAACGATATTTCCATTATTCTTGTATTTTATTTATAAAATAAATTTGGGTGAAAAATCTTATTTATAAATAAGGTATACATGTACCTATCATACGTATTCAGTTTCGTATTAGTTCAAAACATTTTATGTAAGCATTTTGATGAGGACAAATCTGCAAATATTCCTAATTTTTTTTATAGCAAATAGGTCAAAATATAAGAAAAAGATATTTTATATCTGAATAAGTGCACTAATATTATTATATTATTATATTATATTATATGTTACTGTATTACTGTACATTTTATTTTGTTTCTGCATAAAAGATTAAATTTAAATCGAATATTAATTTGGAAACTTTTTTTCCTAATATCACCACATGCGGATGATTTTATGGACTGTAATTCCTACATAAATTCTTGTATTCTATCAGTTAGTAATAATATTTTATATAATATTAATAATGATTTTTTATAACTTAATTTGATATTTTAAACATGGTTTTGTTTTGGTGGTTTTGTTATTTATTTCATTAAATTAAACTAAAATTTTTTATTGAATTTACTTCATTCATATGATTACTGATGTTCTGTATCCAGATTATTTGACTGACTGAACTAAAAGCTGAGATAATAATCAAATGCTTTTGTGATATACTTCATTTGATTAATAACCGTTCTTTCATATTATTTAATGCTTTGACAAAGCGTTGTACATTTTCTTCATTGATCATTATCTGAACATTACAGCTCTCTTTTAAAGCAGAATATTCTACTTCAGCCAGTTCAATTCTAGAAATTATTTAACAGTTATTTGAATACATAAAAATATGGTATTACATTTATTTTATACTTATTTTGTAATTCAGTTAGTTTTTCTTCTGGACTTAATTCATTTTTCCAACGGTATGGGATATTATTTGGTTTTTGTTTGGAAGATGTAGATGAACCAAAAAGTTTAATCTTGGTCTCGAGTTTTT